TTCATCTTAAGGATATTGTTTTCCACTGTTAGATGCAAATTGACTCGTGAAAATGTTATCAACGTTGTATAATATTTAAATAAAAAATTGTATTCTAACTTTTTTTGTAATACATTTGAACAAAAAATCATAAAACGAGAATGAAAGAATAATTTAATCCTTCCATATTGTATGTAAAGTTGTGTTAAAATGAATATTAATGAAAATATTTATAAAGTTCGGAACACTTGCTTATGAAAAAATATCACTTGGATGAAAAATCATAATTTTTGGAATTAAATATTATATCCAATATACAAGATTTTTGAATTTTTAATAAAAGCATTTGAATGCTCGAGTTGTAACATCCGAATGTCACAAGTAAATTTTTTCGTAGAATGAGACATTTGTAAGGCATTTGATTCCTCATCTTGTAATATTCAAACATCTAAAGTAAATTTTTGACAAATTGCTTTTAAATTTGGTCATTAGAATTTTCTTCATATGAGATTTGAATCAATTTGCTTATTTTTCTTTCCTAGTTATTTATGAACATCCGAACATCATTCTTCATAACGAATGTATATTCTGTAGATTATAAAATTTGTTTTCATAAAAATCATTTTAGAACACTTTAAAAAAATTCATTCTTTGATAATATATATACACCACAAATGACAGCCAATAGAGACAATATGTACAACACAAATGACGGCCAATAGAGACAACTTAAAATTAAAGCATTTTGGATTTTACATCAATATTTTCAATCACGACTTTCACACATTTGAAAACTTGATTATCCCTGAAAATCAAGTAAGAACCACCTCTTTTCAATCATATAACTTCTCATGAGATGTCAATTGCTATGGTGCTTATTCGACTCTAATTGGATGAAAAAAAGTGATCGGTACTAGTGGCGGGCTAGCTTTTCAGACAACCATTGTGATCCATCAATTTAACATCAACATTGGGTTTTGTGCAAAATATACGGAGAACCAAACCATTTTTTACTGTAGGAGACTTTTTTCTCATAGGATTCATTGAGGGCATGTTTAGTCTAATGAAAATTTTGGCAATTAGAATCAGCAAAAACTTTTTTTTTTTTAACATGTAGGATGGTTGGGTATTAAATTTTAATTATTAAATTAATATTTTAATAATTTATCTAACAGATTACACGACTGTTACAAACACTTTAGGAGGATTGTCAAATTTGAGGTCGTGTTTGATCTTGTTAAAAGTAGGATGATCGTATGTTAAAATGTCATTAATGAGATCATTAAGAAAAAAGCAATGTCTGAATTGTCAAGTTTGGAGGTTAGCCAATTGAAGTCTGAAACGAAATTACTGCAAGAGTCAAAACTAACAGTGAGGCAACGCACATACGGGATGGGCCCTGTTAGGCTGTTGAAACTCAGACTTACTTTATGAAGTTGGAATCATTTTCCAGCCAATGGTCCAAAGGGGAGTGGAGATCCCGACTGACAACCAACCCGTGATGCGAATCTTTTGGAGCGCACAATGTTCTGTCCTTTCTGTTGGAGAGTGAAAGCAGAGAAAAAAACAAAGTATCTTGAAGATTCCATGAGAGTGTGGCAAGATGTGACGGCCACCAAAATCCATTCCTTTTGACGGGTTTGCCCTCCTTGTTTGGTCATTACCATAGCCTCACGCCTCTTTTAACATTGGCTCCATTTAAACAGGCTTTTGGAAATGCGATCTGCATAGTAACCCATTTTCATGAACTCAAAATTGACCTGCTTTAATTTTAACATATGCAACATATGTTTATGCAAAGCATATTAACCATATGACAAAACTCTCTTTGGTTACACAATAAGAGGGTTGTCACCTCGCAAGCATACCTAAACAGTAGTGAAGTATCTAAACGGAGCGATGAAAATTCTTCTCACTATACATGTAAAGTGATCTTTTAAGTCTTTTTTATTTTAAATTCTTCAAATTTTCCGTAATCTCGGGTTTCATGATTTATGATACTATTATTATAAAAAAGTTGTTGAATATAGAAAGCTGAGGTCGTTCTCCAAGGGATTATGTGGTCTTAAATCGAAGGATGGTTCATGAATGTTCAGTATAAATCGCCATCAAACTTTACACTTGTATCCGTATCAGTTTTTACGTTTGGCTAGCATTATATTTTTTCCCATTTCAATACTTCTAATTTGTTGCATATGTATAATATATATATCCGAATAAATTGCCTCTTTTGGTGTCATGGGTCGCCTCATCACGCCACAGATTGACCTTTGCAGTAAGTTTTAGCCAAGGATTCCGTGTTTTACGAATCTTGAGAAGCTGACAGAGTGGTTAAATTTTAAAATGTCTTTTTCATGTAATTTTCTAGAAATAGCCGTAGACCAACAAATTTTTTTACAAAAAAACCAAGCACGTGGACTTTAAAACAAAACAAACCCAGTGTTCTTGAGGTCCTGATGGTCTTGAACCTTGAGTTGTTGGCCCACGTGAACTCTAAACATCCAAGAAACTTGACTGTGCTTTGAGTCACCTCCCTAAATACTCCATTAACTATTACTGCAAAAACAGTTGTGTGCCACCAGGGGACACCAATTTCACGCCACACCCCAATGGTAGCTTCCTAATTATAGGATATATGTGTGGTCGGTTGTAGCTTTAGCTTGGGGAAGGCATTAGTCAATCGGTGATGATGGTTTATTTATATGGCACTTTGAATTTATCTCAAAATGAACAGTTTGGTGACAGTTGAGCAAAGATTTCCGGTTGGGAGCATATGTATGACATTCGAGTTTGTGTATGGGCATGGAAACGTGAATTTATATATTTCAAGAATAATATCTACGATTTTTTTTTCCACTGATCACATTTCAAATAAGACCTTGTTAATTAACATATATTTTTATTACAAATGGTAAATAATATTTTTTTAGCACTAAAATTAAAGTGGCCAATTCCATCCATCCATGCAAAGTAGCTAAAATTCTAGTTTGCAAGGGTAGTGTGCATTCCTATTATATTCCATAAAAGTGGAAAACAAAAAGAAAAAAACAAATGGCTAAAATGGCTTACTCAAAAAGGGCATGTGAAATCCATCTTTCAAACGGGCCTTATATGATTTGTCAATAAATAGGTGGTCACACATTGAATCTTCACAACCTCATAAAAGCTAATTTATTCTAGCATATGTTAGAAAATTTAAGAAAATAAAAATAATAAGAAAGAAGAAAATATAATTTTGAAGCGTAAAAAATATTATTAAGGTAATTATGCTTATAAATATAATAAAATTTTAAAAAAATTTTAAATCAAAAGTAGTAAAATTGATCTAACAATTACTAGTAAATGTAAATGACTTGTCCCACTTTAATACTTTTTAAGTATATATGTGTAGAAAATCGTGTAATATTGGATGAGTTATTAATAAATTTTTAATATTTAAAATTATCAAAAATTAAAATTTAATAACTAAAATTAAAATTTTAATACTTTATCCGTCGATTGCATGAGTGTCAACCAAAAATCTTGATATCTATGAATCACGTTTAATCAGCAGGATCAATATGAGTGAGAAATCTAAAATGAACACTGAAACATTATCTGTGGCTGACGTGCCGTTCCCGCCTGTTTGCTTCTGGTCTGGGCAGTCAAATGCAAACTTTGATCTGTATTTTTTTTTTTTAAGCAAACGTTTAATTTGAAAAGTTATATGATATAATCTATCAATCTTTTGCAAATCTAACCGATCACCAATCTTTTCTTCATTATCAGATGATGATGATGATGATGATATATATAGCATGATTTTTTTTTTTTTCAATAGAAACCCCAGTTCCCGGAGCCGGTGACCCTGGGGACCCGCAGCCTTTTACTTTTCTATTTGTTTATCCGCCGCCTATGTCCAGCTACCCTGAACCCAGCAAGTTGGCTTCAACGTAATTAGAGAACGTGGGGTAAGGTCAAGTTACACCACTTGACAATTATGTTTGAACCTAAAACTGGGGCTTTTTTCTGGTGCTTCTTGTTGGCGGAAAGCTCTATTTTTAAACTCAGAAATCGCAGTCTGCGCCCCCCGCTAAATCCAAATGGCCGGCCTTTTAACTCGGAACAAACCTTTCCCTCTTAAAAATTTCTTAAATTTCTGACAAAGTAGTCTTCTTTATTCAATTTGGACAGGAAAAACAGGTTAGTAGACAAAAGAAACGAAAATTGGAGTAGAAGTAGCAAACTTGCTTAAGCAATGCAAGCAAGCCTTCTCGAACCTGCTACTTGTATATTAATCTCTTATTAGTCTATTATTACATAATTTTATTTAAGTGGTATTTATATTAACTTAATTAAAATTCAAGATTGTAATAAAATTTGATTTTTTTTCCTCTAACAAAAGTTTTATACATGCCAAACATACATTAAATGGATAGAGGTACGACCCTTTAAATGGTAATATTAAGGACCATAAGAATTTTACTCAAAAGGAAAAAAGAAGAAGCCATAAATTCAAATCAAATCCATTAATAGTAAATTTTGCTAATATTGTGGTGGCGACATTTTATACCAATTATTTTCTAATTACTTCCATATTTGATTTCTGAAAACTATGTATTCTCAGTTCCAACCTTGAGGTGATGCAAACCATACATAAAAAAACAAAAAAAAAATAATTAATTAGCCTAACTTTAGGAAAATTAGCACTGCCACATTACTTACAATTTTTATTCATTTCACTTTGGCCATATATATTTTATTAGCCTAAGTTGAATCATCGTAGGCTAAACATTGGGAGGAAGTCGATATCCCTGCAAGAATCTATTCAAAAAGACCATGTTAAAACATGACAAAATCCAAGACCAACTTTGAATAAATATATGATCTCTCACTTTTCTTTTTTGATTAGGTGCTGTTTGCGTAAATTAAATAAAATGTTGTCGTATTTACTCCAAATACAGACAAAGAAAAAATGAATCTTTTCAAAATAAAACAAACAAAAAGAGTATGAAAACATGTTTTTTTAATTAATGTTTGAATCTCTCGTTATACAAATAAAATAACGTGAGAGGCAAGACCGTAAATTCGGAAAAGTCGGGTTGTAAAAAAAACAAAATTTAAGGAAGAAACTGCTTTTATAAAAACGACAGTGTCCCATGCTCTGCCACAAAGCGGTGTAAATGACATTGCCCTTTATGAAAGCAAGTGGCACCAGAGAGAAAAAAAAAAAAAAAAAAGAAAAGAAATTACAGAAAAGGAGATAGATTCCTCATACCCTGATTCTACCGAATTTTAAAACTCAGATTTAAATCTAACAGAGAGTGGTTTCAAGTCCGTTAAAGTCTATAAAAGGGTCCATAGCTTTTAGATTTTCACTAAGCACAGAGGGCTTAAAAGGCCAGCGAGAGCGAGAGGCAGGGCTACAGCCAAAGTTAGTGCAGACAGACAGAAAAATATGGGAGGCTGGGCTATCGCAGTGCACGGTGGCGCTGGTGTGGACCCAAATCTCCCTAAAGAAAGACAAGAGGAGGCTAAGAGACTCCTCGCTCATTGCCTTGACATTGGAATCTCTGCTCTCCGCTCTAATCTCCCCGCCATTGATGTCGTTGAACTTGTCGTATGTCCCCTTTTCTTTCTCCCCCTCTCCTTTGGTTCCGTCACCATCTTTCATCCCTCATTCAGTTAATAAAAAATCGTATAATGTTGTAAAAAGGACAAATTTTCTTGCTTTGATCATGGCACTTTGTTAAAAATATAATAATTGGAGATTATAATTTTAACGAAGAAGAAAATACGAAGACATCACATTTCACATTTTTTTATTGTTGAAAATTGAAAACGGTGACGATATGAGTATATATATTGATGAAGACGGTTTTTTTATTATCATTTCTTTTTTACTTCCGTCGTTTTCTTCTGGAATTATAAAATTTGGGTTTCGTTTTGTTAGGTGAGAGAACTGGAAACAGATCCTCTGTTCAACTCGGGGCGTGGATCTGCCCTTACAGAGAATGGAACGGTGGAAATGGAAGCCAGCATTATGGACGGCCCAAAGAGGAGATGCGGTGCCGTTTCAGGCTTAACCGCGGTTAAGAACCCTGTCTCCCTTGCCCGTCTTGTCATGGACAAATCACCACATTCTTATCTAGCCTTCTCGGGTGCCGAAGAGTTTGCCAGGAAACAGGTTTGTTTTTACCAGTTTAGCCTCCATGGTCCAAACTCCAAACCACACTAGTTTTTTTTTTAAGAATCTTAGATTCTTTTATGCACGTGTTGAATAAACTGGCCACACGCTTCCATGTTCTGACACTTGACATTAGAGCTTAGATTCTTCAGTTGAGTACCTAAATTTTTTTTATTTTAATTTAATGGGTTGGATGTTGTGCAGGGCGTGGAGTTGGTGGACAATGAATACTTCGTTACGGAAGATAATGTGGGGATGCTTAAGTTGGCAAAAGAAGCAAACTCAATCCTGGTACGTTTTGCATCACTTTCCTTGAATTGACGTTGATGCAGCAAATCACGTGGTGGGACCAAGCTTAAACTTTTTTGGTTTTGTTTTTTGACCAGTTTGATTACCGTATCCCTACGATTGGTACCTGCGGTGCCGGCGCTGCTATGGACAGTCCTTTGCAGATGAACGGGCTTCCTATCAGCTTCTACGCCCCAGAGACAGTTGGGTGCGTGGTGGTTGACAAGGAGGGTCGGTGCGCTGCAGCCACCTCCACCGGTGGACTAATGAACAAGATGATAGGAAGGATTGGTGACTCGCCCCTTATTGGTGCAGGGACCTACGCATGTGACTTGTGCGGGGTGTCATGCACTGGGGAAGGAGAGGCAATCATCAGGAGCACCCTGGCAAGGGAAGTAGCAGCAGTGATGGAATACAAAGGGTTGAATCTGCATGAGGCGGTGGATTATGTGATAAAGAATAGGTTGGATGAAGGCAAAGCTGGACTGATTGCTGTGTCAAAGAATGGTGAGGTGGCTTGTGGGTTTAACACCACCGGGATGTTTAGGGGCTGTGCTACTGAGGATGGGTTCATGGAGGTTGGTATCTGGTAAATGTTTTCGAATTGCATTTGTATTTAGTTCTAGCGGGCCGGAGAGGGCCTTTCTTTTTGGTGCTTCAAAGTATCTCTTGTTTGGTCCTAATTAAGTGAAGCACTGTGCAATTTAAATGCTTGAATAATAAATTAGGATCTTCATCTTTAAGACTGGAATTGCTAGTGTCAAATATCAATCAATCAATAACAGGTTGATGCTTTGGACTTTTGTCCACAATTGCCATATGATCTTTGTGCTTATGAGAAAATCTTTTCCCCCTTTAAAGTAGCAATTCTTTTTGACTCTAAAGTAAAGATGAATGGAATTAAATCTTGATGGGGATCTTGAATGGGACAGCCAAAAATGAACCTTAATTATTCGTCTTGCTTTCAAAAGTTGCCATGTACTGGTTTTGTCGGCTATGACCCCAGTGAAAAGAGCCACTAAGAAAAACCAAGTTTGAAACATTGAAAATTATTTATTAACATCAAAAGGCATACAGTATTGATAGCCTAAGTGGAAATATGTAGTTACTTGTTGCTGCCGTGACCACGGCCTGAAATGGCATTCTTAGCAGACTGAAAGGCTTTCCCTATTGCATCAGATGCTACAGCCAGAACACCACCTTTGTCGTCAGAATTACGCCAATCACGAGTCAAGTGAACCACTCCCACGTTTTCCATCCTGGGTTCTTTGTTTTCCCTGGTTGTGATTGTATATCTACAGTCTCTACCTTGGTTTCGATTGCTCCCTGTTCATTTATCCTTTCAGTTCCCTGCTAAAAGAGTATGGTGAGAGCCTCAGTGTTAACCAAATATCAGGTAAAATTCAAAGGAAAATTAAAGAAGGAGAGCGGAGTACATACCTTGGTGTTCATGTTGCAAGCTTTAACTGAAAGAAGAGATCAATCAAAACTAGAATATGGACTCTCTGCTCCGTAATTCTATTCTATGTGCTAATAGCAGGAAATTTGCTATTTACTATTATTTAGTATCTACAACCGACTTTGGGACACGTTTCACGTTTGGCATGCGGTGGCAATTCCTGCTGCGAAATTGCGTTACAAGTGCCTCCTCTCTTATTTTGGCGCCTCTTGAGTGCCCCCAGTTTCTTCCACCCCTGGCTGGCCTCTATCAAATCCATCAAACAAAACAAAAGAAAATTTGTGTTTTTCATCAAAGATCCAAATTTGCCACATTTGACTACTTTGTCTCCAGATTCCACATGCTAAAATGACAGCTACAAATGGCCCTAGGGACTTGAAACTCGAGATTCCAAATTCAGTCAAAGGCCACACGTTCTGCTTGGAAAATGTTGCACTAATTGTTTCTGCATTACCTTGGAGCACGGGTTAAGACCTGCATAATGTAATAGGCAAATATACAACAAAATGCATGTATCTTGATGAGGTCGCGAAATCCAAGATCAACTTCCTGAAAATAAATTTTGATAGACATGTTTCTACATTGTGCATTGTTATAATGGTTTTGGTATCACTAGATAAAAATTTTTTAAAATCATAAAATTAATAAAAAAATTAATATGATATTTTTTAAGGTTGATTATTCATTTAAAAATTTATTTTTTAATAAAATAATAAAAAAACATATTTAAAGTTTATCTAAACGATAATTTTTTATTTACGAAAATAGATTTGAATTTGAAAATTGTTATTCATAGAAAAAGATTAGCACTTTCATAATGTTCATAAATTAGTACTAATTAATCATGTATTATTTTTTGTGTTTGATAAAATAATTTCGATTTGAAATTAAATAATAATTACCTTTGTTTTTTTTTTTTAAAAAGCAAGTAATTTTATTAAAGTTTTTAATTTAAAATATCAAGAAAAATTTTAAATTAAAGAATTATTTTAAAATTTTTTAACATCTAAATAGAATTTAAAATAACTCTTTTCGCTTAAGATTTATCATAATATTTTTTAAAATGAAAATAACGTTCTCCATAAATGATAATTGTTGATAATTTTTTAACATTTTAGTAGAGTATCAAAAATTATTTCTCTTAAAATATTAATTTAGTTTTATTTAAAAATATATATTTTTAAATAATACTTTTTACAAAAGCATCTTATGCAAAAATTAATGATGCTACAATTAACTAATAAACAATAGTAAAAGACATAAACATGTAAAATAAAAGTAAGTAATAATAAATAAATATATATACCAATGGATAATATGCCTAATGATGAGATGCCATTTTAAAATTAGATTTTTAAACATTATGAGACTATCCAGATTTCTTAACCTCTGGGTAGAGTTTAGATATGATTATTTATATTTAAAATCTTATTTTTAAATTTTTTATTTTAATTACATTATTATTGTGAGTTAAAGACTTGTATGCAAACTTAATAAAATTTCTTAAATACCCATATTCTATGGGATATTTGAGAAAAAATTACTTCACATAAGATTTTTACACGTACCCTTAAAATTTTTAAATTGTTTTAGATATGGATTTAAATCGAGGATTTACGATTTGGTGATGATTTGGTGTTGTGTGTTGATTTTAAAGTTTAGCTTATATTTAAAATTTTAATGGATTTTTAAGATTTAAGATTATATTTAAGGGTTTAAGGGAGGGTTTGGTTTTTAAGGTTTTGGTTAAAAAATTCAAGGTTTCGAGGATTTAAAATTTTAAGATTTTAAGGTCTCAAATTTTAGGATTTTGAAGTTTTAGAGTTTCGAGGGTTTAAGATTTAAGGGTTTGGGTTTGTGTTTGTTTGGGTTGAGAATACTCTATAAATTAGAAGAGATTGAGAGTGTCTTATAAGTATTGATTGTTGAGTGAGGTTGATGATTTAATGTATATTTGTAATTCTCTACAATTAGTGGATCTTATTTCTCATTCGTGGACGTAAGTTGATTGGATCAAATCACATTAAATTATTATCTCTTGTGTATTTAATTTATTATTTGATTTTATTTCTATTGATGTGATTTAATTAGAGACTTTTAACCCAACGCATTTAAGTAATCAATGAAACGAACGGCATAAACCAATCACTATCATTATGCGATAAGAAGTATATACAAGGGTAAGAAATTTTGAGATGGTACCTGAGCAGGGACCATCGGGGCATTTACAGCCGTAGCAGCAAGCTCCCCTTTCAAAGCCCCGACAACAGCTTGGTACATGACATATAATTATTAGTTTGATTGTAATACTTCATTTATAAATTAGTTGATTTATCTATGAATTTGTAGATTTCACTTTTGAACTTGTCCAATAATTACATGCCACTAGGTAAGGTGTCCACGCATTGTTGCATGTCAATTTTTATTTTTTTTATTTTTTCATTCTTACTCATGTTTCTTTTTAATTATCTAATTTTAAAAAAAGTAAAAAATAAAAAAAATCCAAATGAAAGTGAACATGAATACTTAAATTGGCATTTTATTCTCACAAAATATAAAATATAAATTAATTTTTTTATGTGTAGCACCTACTTAATATCAAATTTTAAATAAAAAAAAGATGAATATATAAAAATATAAAATTAAATAAATAATAAAATATATACATTTGTATACTATAGGATGGCTTGGGGTATAGAACTAAATGTATTTTTGATTTGTCCTTGATTTCTATTAAAAAATCAACTTGAATTGATTTGATATCTATTTTTTCAATAATGATCATATCAAATTGAGTTCTATCAAAAACTAATTATCTTATTATTCTTATTAGGTGTCTCACTTTGTTATAAAATTAATTTAATTAAAAAATAATAAATAAATAATATGAAGAGAAATAAATACATGAGATGCGGCACCTTAATTAACATTATTTTTTACAAAAATTATCTAATTAAAAATAAATTAAAAACAAAAAATTTTTAAAAAAATTGAAAAACAAAAATAAAACCTGTGATCAAATTGAGCAGGATTAAAACATATAAGATACCAATTATTTGCTTATTTATCGACTCTTTTTATTATAAAATTTATATAATTAAAAAATAAAAAAATTAAGGCGTCAACACTTCAATTGGGTTGACTTTTAAACAAATTTATCTAAAAAAAATTACAAAAAAAGTAAAAAAAAAAATAAAAAAATACAAGGCGTCAACGTGACACCTTGAATGAGAGTAAAAGAAAAATCAAATTAAGCAAAATTTATATAATAAATTAATGAATATATGGATTATACAGTAATTATTTATAAATATAGTATTTTTATCCTTTTTAAAGTAAAAAAATAAAAAAAAATTGATTTAAAGTGCGTTTCACTTTTAATATTAAAAAATTAACAAAAAATAAGAAAAAAAATTAAAAAAAAAAATGATATGGTTATATGATTTTAAGGCGAGTAGGAGCAAAAACTAATTGCATCTTCATTACGTAAGTCTTCCCCTTATCAATTCAATAGCATCCGGAAAAGTATCCTCTTAACTGGCAGTATCAGTATCATACATCCAAGACCCATGAGTCCAATCAAATACAACTGTTTTTCTTGCTGTTGTTTTCAATATCGTAGTAGAATTTCACCTTCAATCAGCATATTTTTCTATTGTCATGTCGGCTGCTAATCAAAAAAATTCCAAAGAAGAGCCGAATCTTGGACCACAAGACAAAGAGGGTAGGTATTCTTTTTCCTCTCAATTACCCAGTTTTTCTCCAGTCTTTTCCTTTCTAATCAAGATTCCTGGAAGAATCTTGCACCAAATCTACCTTCGATTAAAGTATTTATAAAATTTCCAAGCCAACAGCCTTTTTCTATATATTTTCTTCCGTCTCTCATGCTTTTCACCTTTGAATAATCAGAGAGGGCCGTTTGTATTCAAAAAACAATAAAAAATAAAATCCCGTCTTTGGTATGCTGGTTGTTATCGACCCGCCTTCAATTTCGAATATTTTGATTGAAATGAATTTTCTTTTAGAAATATCTCGTTCAAACAAGTCTTAAAATTATGTCTCATTTTTAATTTATTAATTTATTATTAATTACCTCGGTTGGAGAAACTTTAAAACTTCTTTTATGTGGATGAGATTTAGTTTTTTTATTATTATTATTTGCTATTAAATATCTGTTAAAGGTTACAGCAAAATGAAAAGACGAAACAAGATAAGGAAACAGATCAATTAATAAGGGGCGAAGGTATCTTTTGGATTCTTCCCAATTAGTCAAAGGATGTGGCAAAATTTTCCACGATATTGGATAACTGAATTCCACTGTAACAACATAATATTCATCCTATTTTGCTGGAAATTTTTCGTAGTGATTAGCATGAGCCAACATTAGCCCACCTTGGCCTCAGGTATTGTGGTAAGGTGAAGATGATCTGCTTTAAGAGCTAATCCCTTGGCGTCCACACACTTGACATTGGGCAGCTTCATCTCCATTTGAGCTTTTCTCACTGTTTCTACAAATTCTCCTGATCCGGATGCAAGTGCCACCTGAATGTTTATGCACTGGGATATGTTAAATTCAATGTTTTCTACTTTAAGAATTTATACTGCAATTAATGCTAATTCTGCAACCACTGAGTCAGGGTTTTCTACTAAAAAATTTGTAGTGAAATACTTATTCTACATCCCTGAATTATTTTGACCAATAAGTGTTTGTCAAAAACTGACAAATTTTATTCTAGATACATCCCCTGGTTCAAATGGAAAGCTTTTCTTCACCTTCACTTAATCGCATTCTACTTGATAGTGTTTTAAACAAACAAGCTGCAAAGATCCAAGCCCCCGATCTGGAAAATAATTTATCCTAATATGTGTGAATTTGTTTTATAGGTCAAAGAATATGGTCCAATAGGGACCTTCTGTTTCTCAAGTAATTAATGCTGCCAAGGGGACTGTCAAGAAATATTCTCATGTTCGGGATTACAGCATTGATACCGAAACTGAAACCTTCAAAGAAAGGAGTTATATTCGGGATTGGCTAACAATTTCTGGATGGCAAAACCGACTTAGAAGTAGAGTTGATAATTATTCGAATGAGATTCTATTTGATTTTTTAATATATTATATAATATTTTAAAATTTTAAAATTTGATCTGCATTTAAATTTAAATTAATTTAAATTAAATTGAATCGAAATTATTGATTTGATTTAGTTTGATTTATCGATTTTTAAATTTTTAAATTTAATTTTTATATGTTATTTTAATTTTAAATTTTAATATATTTAAATAAATTTTGATATAAAATTATTATTTTTATTTATAAAAATTTTAAAAATATGTTATTTGATTCAGTTTTTTTTTTAATTTAAAATTCGATTCAAACTAAACTAAATATTACATTTCAAATCAATTTTTGATTTTTTTTCTCACCCCTGTTGAGGGGGTGATAGATTAGAAGTCTCAACTCATTGAGCCTGAGGACAGCCGATATTAGAGGCAGAAGAATAAAGCTACTGACAAATATAAGTGAACAATTGGAGCGAATTAATAAATAAAACTAAAAACCTGGATAAAAGGCGGAGAAGGGTAGGTTAAGATCAGAGCGAAAGTCCAGAATGAGCTTCTCTAGCTTCCCTTTATATGTCTCAGCATTCTCCTTAGTACTAGCGTCACTCTCTCCTTGATACCGTAAAATGGCCCGAATCGTTCCACCACCACCGCCAATCCCCGAGCCATGAGTTAGAATCTCATTGGCAAATGCCATTCCGGGTCCAACCCCACAAATCCTGCCCACGTCAATGTCAGCATGGAAAGGGTCACGTGCTTCTTCCCAAGTGAGGTTTGCAGTGAGCCGGAGAATCCAAGGGTTGGGTTGGCACTCTGGCGGGACGATTCCGTCCCATTTGCCATTTGCAATACCACCCCTTCCTGCCATCTTACTCTGTCCTGCTAGGATAAATATGTCCTGAGCAGGGCTATCCCCTACAACTAAAATTGAATGGGCAAGGACCAGCATTAAGAACAATGTATCAACATGAACATGTTTCCGTCACTAGACTGCTATTAGAATTATGTAACAACGATTTCTTGATGCAGGTAAGATATATTCAGTGAAGGTACTAAAAAATTAAAGGTCGGCTTGTAATTTAAAGGAGTAATAAATTCGACGGAATTTTGACAATTAAAGATGGATATGCATGCCCGATGTGAGACCATGGTCAGTTGAGTGACGCATTTCGCACACTGATAGATAAAGTAGCAACTTGGGTTATTGATCTTGATATGGTGCGAAGGATGAAAATGAGAATTCTCGTAACCTTTTAACCAGTTTAATTTTTTTTTCACATAAAATTGCGAAATTAGACGGGGCAAAAAATAATAGAGGTTTAAGTCTTAAGATATTTTATAAACACAACTAGAATATTTTGACTGTAAATTGAAGATGACCTGAGAGGTGAAGTACCTCATAACTGAAGCAGAGGCGGCCCTGAAGGGGACAGGCAGGGCCGCAGCTCTCTCCAATTTTTTACCTTCTTTGTTATATAATAATTAGTCTTATCTAATTATTATTTTGATTCTTTCTTTTTCTTTAAAATTATTGTTTGAATATTTCTTTATTAATTTTTTTACTTTTGTCGAAGCTTGCTAGATAGTTTTATCAGATCCGAGAAATGTCAAAATCATATACTCAAATTAATTATATTAACTTATCTGAATGTGGAATTTAGGAAGCATCATGGCTTTCCAGGAAAAATATTTCCAGGAAAAATGAGAATTCTACTTGCAACTTCACTTTATATAAGTTGATTTAGTTGTACTTTTATTGCCCATCAAAAAGTGGTTCGATGAAACCTATCTTGACCATTAATTGGTTTTTGAGTAGTGCAAAATTTGTTGAGTATTACTATCTATTCACTCTTATACAATAACCTCGGCAGTACCTGACCATTAAGCACACCAACCAACCAGACAAACCATGGCAACTTCTTTATAGTTGCTTATGTCTGTGTTTTTAAACCGACTTACAAAAATATCAAAGAGCTCTTTAAACAAAAAATCTTCTAGAGATGCATAAGAAATCAAACACCATTTTTAAAAGTAAAGTTAATGGAAAAATATCAGAGTAACGATGCTTCCTTTAACAAAATTGAATTCGAATGGGACTTCGAATCATAAAGGGATGAAATATCTGTTAAAATTTCAGGATAAGTTTTCAATCGAAGGTTAATTAGAAACATAGCAAATTGAGCGTCTGAAGTTCCGTGGAAAGCCAAATTTCTAGGACCTAAAGATGCAAACAAACAATTAAGAAGCAAAACAGAACAGTTTGGCATTTGGCTGCACTTTATCTACACTGAAAAAATACAAAGAACCAGTTCCATTGCTAAAAGAATTCAAACTTTGGTGCAATATGACTTTACACGAAGTAGGTTCTCAGTCTTTCAATAGTCAGGTTATTCACATTGGACTATTACTGTTGTTGAATTTTGAAGTCAAGTAACTGTCCATTTTAATCATCAAATGATAAGCTCAACATCGATTCCAGCAACAATTGCTGAATCTCTGATTCCTAGTTCATATAAATCCCTTTTTTTCATTCTTATCCTATGTTAGTATGAATACAGAGAAACAATCCAATATTCAGAGCCTATCCCTATCCGAAAGTAACGATCATCCAGAGACATCTGAAAATTTGAGCAGTTATCCAAAAATACGGAACAAAATTAGACGAATTAGTTGGAGCATCGTTGCTGGGTGATGGACTGGGTATAGACTGAAGGAATGCATCTGCCAACATCTCCCCGAGTCTCACCTGGGCTGGAGTGGTGAGATGTAGCCCATCTGGTTCGAATGGTAATCCCTTGGCGTCCACGCATTTCACATTTGGAAGGCCTATCTCTAACTGGGCTTCTCTCACTTCCTCTATGTAAGGTCCCTCTCCTGATGCTAAAGCCACCTATCAAAGAAACTACCAATGTTAATCAAGCTTGTAAGTTTTTAAGTCGCATGTTTGCTCATTTACAAAAGCAGGAATTTGTTTTCTTAATCAGCCTTAGATGTGTTGTTGTATCAGCAAAAACCAGTCCAAGTTTATTCATCAATTTCCCTTCTCAGTGCTCCTAGAATGAACAAATTTATAACTTAAATTTTGCCAACTTGTATTACATTAATCTCCACCGACAGCTGGAAATGTGAAAGTTAACCAATTGCATGTGCCCTCCAACTATTCTGCCTAGTTTTAACTTTTAGTCATCTGAAGCAGTTGACATTTACGAATTATTTTGCAAGTTTCTTAAATAGCAGTCGTATCTTTGTCGCATAAGCGAGTTGCCGGTTATGTTTGGACTTTCCTTCAACCTTAAATCTGAAATGCTTGTTCTTGGAGAACCGACAAGTGATGATTCAATTTTAAGGTCAATTCAAGTCAACAATGCTTAGTATTATTTTTGCCAGTGATGCAAATCTGATCCAAAAGAATAAAGAAATAAAGGATCCATCAGGTGAGTTCTGCCAACTTGTGTAAGATTTTAAACTTCTAAGAAGCTAGGGAAACCAACCAATTCTATAAAATTTGTGCAAATATATGACACTTTTAATTCTGAAAAAAGAGCCATTTCTTTTGAGAGTTGACATGATACCGAATAATCAATCTATCAATGCAATAATCTTTATCTAGGGCCTAATCAAAACTTTTGATCTAGTTTTCGAATAAAACTGATCATTGAACAGCAAAAGCAAAATGAGATCATTAATTCTACGCGACAAAATTGAAGAAAATCAAATTAATGAAGAAAAGGAACAATCAAACAAATTGTACCTGGAATATTGGGAGCATAGGTGCATTCAGATCAGAACGTATATTATTGAAAAACCTCTTTAATCTACCTTTATACAATTCAGCATGTTCTTGATTTATTGTATCACTCTCCCCTTGATACCAAAGCATCGCTTGGTATACTCCCCCACTGTTCAGCGCCATCTGTGCTCTCTTCACCAATTGCTCATACAGAAACTCCCCTTTCTGCCATTTGCTTATAGTGGTCCCTCCAACGGCACAAGGAACCAATCCCACCGACCCAAAGTTGGGGTCCTTGCTCAGCACAGCATTAGCAAATGACATTCCAGGTCCAATCCCATCTGTCTTCTTGGCATCAATGTCAGCATGGATTGGCTCACGGGCTTGAACCCATTCCAGGTCCGCACTCAACCTGAAGATTGAAGGGTTAGGTTCGCACTGTGGAGGAACTACGCCGTCCCAAGTCCGAATGCCCTTTGAAGTGTCATTGGTCACACCTCCACGACCGGCCATGTTGCTTTGTCCGGCCAGGATAAATATCTTCAAATTTTGTTGTTGTAGATTTTGACATTTGATTGGTAAGGCGTGAGCCAGAAGAGCCAAGAGAATGAAGGAAAGCATCCGGTAATGGACTTTGCTGCGTACAGTTCGCAAAAGGGGGGTTGAACTTTCTGTCTGTCAATTATTTATCTCTCAGAAGTCAGGACCATGTTGAAAGCAAAGATGGTTGCTTCTTACGTGGTTTAAATTGGTTTTCTTTCCTTTTATTCTAAAACATTCCGTCTTGTAGTCACCCATGTGGGATTTTCTAAGAAGGCTTTAATGTAACTATTCATTTTTATGATTTAAATATGCTAATGATACTTCACCAGTTGTGTAGACAAATATATGTATTTATTATCAAATTGTTTTCAAAAAGTTTTCAGAAAATGAGAAAGTGTATTTAACGTTGGTTCGAAATTGAGCCAATGCCAGTCAATTCATTACTTGTTTTTTAATTCCAAAATGCCGTCGTGGTTGGTGGGCTTATCAACCTCGGCCCTTGTAGAAAACTAGAAAGCATAAAGATTGTACAGTGTGGAACAGTCGGCAGGACTCAGTGAGCAGTATTTTTCCACCAAATAATCATAGATTAACCTTAGAGCACTCAAACTAGTGGAAACATGATACAAGAACGCGCAATTGTCAAGCAGTCAAGGCTTCATAAATCACGGGGGGATTTAATGGATTCCAAGTTGTTTTAACGTATATAATATAATGACAGCTGAGTTGCATTGTCATTAGATAGGTACGTATAACCTTTTTCCTTTAAACAAAAACAATTAATCAACTGTTTATAAAACCAAATAAACGCAAGACATTTCTTTCACACACGCTAAAAGTGTTTTTTTTTTCTTTTCAAATTTCTCAACAAAATATTTGTATGAAGTCACATACAAATTTTAATCAACATGGTGTGATTTTAATAAGTTTTTAGTTAGAAGAGTGATTTTGATAAGTTGTTTAATTATTGTTCTCTAGAATATCATTGCTTTAAAAGAAAATATATCGTCAAAACTGTCAAATTTTTATAAAATAAAACGACTTTGATTTTTATCTTATCAACAAACGACATGATTTTTTATGAATGATATTCACAATTTTTAATTAAAAAATGGATCCACTATTTCTTAAGCAAATCATAATAAAAGCCAATATTTCATACTTTCCTTCAAAACCTACGCATGTACAGAAGTAGGGAGTCGATCCTGACTCCTTTTCCAACAACATACGTAAGAGATATAATGTAAATACCAAATATTTACAGTTGTTGCCATCAGTATCGCATCTGAATATCTGAAACCCGAGCGAAAAGGACTCAAGGTCTTGTGTTATTTTGGGCTTTTTCCATGACAAAAATGTTGTTTTGGACTCAAGGTGTGATTTGTGAAATGTCAATCTGACACACTTTTTTATCACTACTCAGTGAAGCCCTTCTGGTTTGGCAAGACCCTAGTGCTATTCTTTTCCTTGTTAGGATTTGGAACTTTGATTATTTCATTCTGGATTTATAGCGTTGGGCTAAAGGTGAAACTTATGCTTGCCCATAAAACTAAAGTTGGGAGAAGATACGTTAAAGGCATTCGAGGTCTGGGCTGGGATTGAAACTTTTACCTTATCAAATGTGTTATAGGCTATAGCCTACAGGTGCATATGTCTAAGCCTAACATGGACTAGAAAGGGTCGGGGTATAAGCCCAACTATCACACAACATGTATAGACACAAACCCTTTGGACCTGTTGCACGTCCACACAATTGGGCCGAAGAGTTCGTTTGGACTTTGGCATCTTAGTAATATAAACAAAAATAAAGCTAGCTAATAAAATGATTAATTACTAGTAATAATTTAATTTAGTTATTAATGTTCTGTGCTTGGTATTATGATATTATTATCAGTTACAATAAATTTGAAAGAGTAGGAATGAAGCCTCATCGATCGGACACGGTCCAACCCAAGCTTTGAACCCAAGTATGCAAGTTTCAACAGCAACCCAAACTTCATCTGTCTGAAATTTTTTAATTCATGGCTTGGCCTGAAGTTTACATTGGATTGGTCTAGATGAAGGTTCTCTAACTAGTTCGAATACTAACTGAAACTGAGCAAATCGAAACAGATCCACTTCTGAGAGATGCTGATATTTGCTACTTGGGTCGGAAGTTAAGCAATTTATCATGTTATAAGTTGATGGATATTTATTTGGAACTTGTTATCATCCTCTGGTTCAGATGCAGCCAAAATACAATGATGCCCGTACCCTATCATTGCCCTGAACTCCAAGAACAATTCCAATCTTCTCTGAATCTAAAATATAGGGTTGACAGTATAGGTTTGCCAAAATAGACCTATGGATATATATCTTGGAATAGCCCTAGTGAGTAGTGATTGGTTGGTTTTGCCGCCAATATTTAATGATTTAGGTGCCGTGAACCCCTAATGGCTAATGTCTGGAGACCTAAAAATCAACCAATGTCCCTTTCTTTCTTCATGCATAAAGGAACACATGAGAGGCCTGTAGGTCATTTACATCTAGCTTGAATTAGCTAAAATGATACTCTAATAAGACCCGCACTGCCCACTGGTAAGAAAATCAGAGTGAATTTTGCAGCTACAAGAAGAAGCCCATCACTACCCCGCGTTCGGACCACTGTACCCAGTTATCGTAGAGTCACAATCTTTCTAACATTAATTGTCTCCATTGGCTTTTCTTTTGTTGTTTTCCCTGACATGCTGATTAATTCAATGCTCATTTATGTTCTCAGTTGAAAAACTAGATTGTTAGTCATTAATTGCCCCAATTATTGTTACTCCAACTTAAGGGCGAAAATATGATGTAGATATTTGATATAATATATTTAATTTTTTTAAAAAATTTCATATATTTAGAGAGTTGAACATTTATATCTTTGTATTCACATCTATCTCGTAGTATCCAACATGAATCCTAAAAAAAAAAAAAAATCCAAATGACATAACCTATTATAAATAAAAATTTTTTAAGAATATGTTAATAATTAATTAATCACTGTTCTAACTTCGAATCATCTCTCTCTTTTTTCCATTTAGCGCCTGACCCAACCAACCTCTCAACGGTAGGAAAAAAAAAAAAAGAAGGTTTGGACCATGACAGATAAAAAAGATGTTTCCAATGGACCACGTGTACGGGCCTGGCCTAATGGATTGTCTCACCATATATTTGTCCCCTCCATCCAGGACGAATAGTTGATTAACATACAAACAGTCCTAAATGCAGTGTTGTCACTTACCCGTCAGAGATGATGAATTTTAAGCTTGGCATTTCCTGATATTGTGACACCTAAAATCGGACACCCCGTAGCCCAGCCCACCAACCCATCGGATACTCTTTTTGCGGCGGCCCATTGCCATATTCAATTTTCTTTCAGCTTTCTGTAGCCTGCCCTGCCCCTCTAGCTCAAAAAACAAAGACAAAATATATCCCAAATCTCGGGTTCAGGATGGAATTGTCAAGCATCCTCCACAATTATACCAGTCACGAATGGAATGTGTATCCTCTGAGCTACATGATAAACCAGAGTGTTCCATTCCCCAACTCTCATTCAAATCAAGGTAAAATGAATTTAAATCCTACTAGAGTGGGCCTGCTCCAATATATACACTGTCATTCTTCAGCCACGGGTCCCTTCCCCCCCCCCCCCTCTCTCTCTCTCTCTATGTATATATCTATTTTTTTCCTTTTTTGGGGGGTTTTAAGGGATGTTATAACATATACATATACATACACATATATTTACATATACATATACATATTTTCCCTGATTTTCAAACATTGCCTCATTACTGATACAAATTCTTTGATTATTTTGGAATGCTGTCTACAGCAGCTGCAGCATGATAATGATAACATTTAAGTTTTGGCGCTAGTGTGGTTAATGTGTCCATTTCTGATCTTGTCTACTTTAGTGTTTGAATCCAGGATTTTGGCTTGATTCATTCAATATTTTTTGGCTAAGGTTTTGAGGTCCCCCAATTTCGACCATACCCTGAACGCACATTTTGCATAAAGTGTCTAAAGAATTAGGTCTTCTATTAACCTTTGGACACACTAATGGTAACTTTTTACACAGTAGCTGGTTTAAATCATTGTGACCTTTGTTTACAATGATTTCTGCAAATAATGAAATAATCAGCCGTCCGCTTTAAGAGTTTGTTCTATTATAATCGACATATACAGTGAATTATTGACTTAGCAACGAATCAGGGAAAAATTAATTCCAAAAAACAGAGAGCCAAGCCTAGAATTGACAAGCTCTTTCAAGGGACTGATAAGAACATTAGATGCTGGCTGCATGTGCTTGCAGATTTACAGTTTCATCCAGCGTTCTTGAAGCCATCAAGTACAGAATCCATTTTTTTTTTTTGGTCTGTTTTTTCGGAGCCAAACCATAGGGCATTAAATATTATTAGAGTTAACCAAGTCTAACAACAAATTGTTTGTTTTTAACTTTTTTGGTTGCCAGACTTGAAAATATCCCGCATATACCTCCAATTTTTTTCCTAACTTTGACAATCTTTATTCTCCACTGCATTTACTCATTACTACTTGAATTTTCTTTTAGTACATCTCCAACTAAATTTCAAGACTTTGTTCTTTTTTTTTATTAGCTAGGTTACTTGAGAAAAAAAATACTAATCAACATTGAAAGTTTTGGCGAGAAAGGAAAAGGAATAAATAAATGCCTGTTCAGGCTTAGCCCCACCATCACTAATGTGCATGGCCTGGAGATGACCATAATCTGTAGGCAGGCAAATGCCAGTGGAAAGTGATGAGTCAATGTCTAAGCTTTGATGAAAGGGAATGATCAGTTTACCTAACATGGAAGTGACGCTGCTTCCACAGTGAATAAAGCCCGGGTTTGTAGGTTTTAAAAATTAACTCATTAATGCTCAATACGTCAAGAAGGATGAGATTAAGCTTTGAGGAGTTTAAAAGTTACAGTAGATGACAATGTCCATAAAAGAAGAGAAGATGTTCACTGGCACCAATTTTCTCTCTCTCTCTCTCTCTCTTTTTATTTGAGATTGTTAAAATTTAAATTTTGATCACTAAAATTACGAATTTAATACTTTACCGGCATGTTGCTTTTCATGATCACAAAACAATATCTTATCATTGTCTTCCTTTTCTTTTTCAAAACACAACCTTTTCTTTTTGGGTTGAACTACTATCTAGAGTCTACAATGCTAACTACCAAAAGCAAAGAACAAAAGTTGAACAAAGACATGACAACCAAAATCAAAAGATATTGTCCCCCAATTTCAACATTCTCCACCTTTCAACTTTTTGCCCCTTTTTTTAGTGTGTTTTTGGTGCATCTAATTTTGTATCTAAACACCTTTTAATCTTCTCTTATGCCTTCTTTTAATCCCTCTACTATCTTTCTAGCCATCTCTCCTCTTTTTCCTAATTCCTTCCTTCACAGCCTTCCCTACTCAAATCAGTGGAGAATGCACCCTGGCTTCAAGCATGTGCACCCTGGCTTCAAGCATGTATCACGGCTTAAAAAGACATTATCTTACATTATAAACACCTAAAATGATTAGTCACTATCCAATTTTCATGAAAATCATTCAAAATAGTAGTACATTATCCCCTTATAATGCTTGTTTGAATAACTAATATGACATAGACAATACACTTTTTGATGATCCATAAATGTACAAAATCTCAAAGTATTCATTATAATCAGCTACTATACTATTATTTCATCATTTTGTTAAGACTTTTGGTCAAAAGGATACGGAATAAACTGATCGACACAAGTTCATATATGATTTGTGTTTTAGTAATACAAATGGTTAGTAGGACCACTAATACACACGAGCAAGAACTAATGACACGGTCAATATGGGCGGAAATGAACCAACTTTATATTATATATAAACCGAAATTCACGGTGCATAAAACAATTATTAGATCTAATAATATAAGTCAGTTATAGCAGATTAAGCAATTTAGTAAGAAATCTAGAGAGCTGTGAATATTATAGTATGACAAGTTTGAGAATAAAGCCAAGTCATGATTTCCCCCTATAGTTTGAAGCGGTAGAAAGCACATGCAAAGCCTTCTTGCTGCTGTCTTTTTCTGCATCTTCAACAACTTTGAACTATGATCGATTTAGCCCAATGGGTTTTTGATTGAGATAAAGGAAATTTTTGACTACCAGAAGCAAGACTTTGGGTTGGAAAAATCTTAATCTAAAGGGTATTTTATCATGAATTGTCATTGTAACTTGATAATGGAAGTGCTCAAGTTGTTTACTCATTTCTTTGTCGAGGTTATAAGGGGATATATCATACACATGCACATTGATTATTGACGGAGTCTCCTCCATGTCTTTCTTTGTCCAAAGGGTAGCTTTCATTGACTTTGCCTTGGAGGGTTGGAGTCCCCATCTGCCTCCGCTATCAAATTTGGCACTTGAAAACTTATGCTTTAGGTGTGCGGTCGAGATCCCAAAGTTCCCATCATCTCCATTTGCTGACCAAAAATGATGCTGGATCAGTACACTTTCTACAATTCTACTCCATGGTAAACATGGCGAAGCCTATTGTCACTTTTTCAATGCAATAGTTTTGATCATAAACCCAGGAAAAGAACATTAAAAATCATGGCTGAGGGTATTTTACAGCTGTTAGCTGACTCCAACCTCAATCAGGTGGTCACCAGGGCTAAAATTTCAAACAAAGATGAGCCCTTCCAACGAGGTCAAACCTCAAAATTATAGTCACAAAATCTGCTCCAAAAATTGCCAGTGGCCGACAACATGTTCCTCCTCCTTTCACATGCAAACAAAAACTCTTCTTATATGTACTTTCAATCCTCCCGCCTCCGTGGTTTCTGCTCTCCACTCAACCCATTTGATATCGCCAGTGTATTTAAATACAAATACGTACAAAAGGATATTATGCATGTATTCATATATTTACACCTTCGTATGTAGTTCAATCATGTCTAAGAAATAAGAACAATGTGGACAGTATAAAATAAATATGACATTTTTTTAAGTTTTATTGGACGACTGAAATTATCATTATGTTCATAAAATAGAAAAGGCTTAAGCATTAATGCAAGAACTCTGCATGGCTATCATGCTATGTTCATATTTGTTTTTTACTTTCTTCCGGATAAAATGCAAACCATCTCTGCTTCCAAATTTCCTCGCCAATCACCCTAAAGAGACAATTGAGAATCAGAAACTGAAGATCTGTCTCAATTGGGGTTTTGGTTGGAAAATGCAGAGATGGTAAGCAATTTAACTTGCATCATATAAAAAAGAACAGCAACATTATTACAAAGACTAATTTATAGTCCAGGAGAGGGAAAAAGCGGAATTTAGCGGGGAATGCTGAGAAAGTCTGAAGGAGCATGGCTTAGCCTTTCCCGAAGCTGGTCTTGCTGAGTTCTGCTCCTCTTGGATAGAGGCTCAGGTGAAGAAGACACAGATGATGCAACTGCCCAGGAATCGTTCGAGCTATCAGAACTAAACGACACATCCATTACGGCATTTGGGCTTCCCGGAATGGAGCTAAACCTGCGTTTCTTTGATTGGTTGCCTTCAACTCTTGTTGTTGCCAATTCTATTATCAACTTACAGCATTCATCTACCTTGTCCTGTTCCAAACATGAATCGAGATTTAAGAAGCAGGATGAAAATTTCAAATTTAACATTGGAAAAAGCTAGAGAACTAGAATTAGGAATAAGAAAGAAAATGAAGACCTTAAAACAATACCTGATCAATTCCCAGGATGCCTAATAGCTGGTTTTGGTATTCTACTCTAAGATTAGGTTCTACACTATCCACGACGCGCAGAATTGTAGCAGTGGCCAATACAGAAGGAAGATAGCACATAAACCTAGAATCTGCCAATGAATTTAACAGGAATTACGAAAAAGATGAGATTTTGAGAAAACAGTAGAATTGATCTTATTTCTTCAATACAGATTACAGAGAGCAACCAATTCAAATCCAATTAACAATTTGATAAATGAAGGAAGGGTTTTTGTTTTGGTGCTAACCTGAAATGACTGAGAGCAGAATGCGGTCACATCTCCTAAGAAATGCCCAACAAAAATGGTGCTTTAATCCAAGCCTCCTTGCAATGTAATCAAGAAATGAAAGTGGGGTTACAGGGTTCATCTTCCATTGAAGGGTGGAGAGTACCAAAATCTCCATTCTTTGGATAGTTTTGGCCTCAAACACATACCTGCTCTCCTCCACCTATAACAGATCAACAAAAACACAACATTAATAAGCCGAATCAAATGACAAATAAAAAAAAAACTACAGCAAACTTAGCTAACATGGTAACATACTTGTAAGTCCAGTAGGAGAGGCACTTGGGTTTCTTCAACTTTGGCTGCAAGAGAAAGACAAGCTACAGCAGCTAGTTGAGTCATCCCTGGCTTCTCAGTTTGGAACCTGAAGCTAAACAAGAATCTATCAAGATAGTTGACAGCAAGAACAGCAGTGAGAGCAGAGAAGGAATAGTGAGCATTGACTTTCAACATCCATTCCACAGCTTCACGGCGAGCGTCAGCTAGATCCCCATTGGTTTGAAGGCTATCATGCAGTTGATTTTGCTGTTCCTTGGAAAGTAAAGAGGAAAGTTCATCATCTTCCCAGAATAAGCCTTGTTCTAACAAGATTGGAAAAGGGTTTGATTTATTAATCCCATTATTATAACAACTTTCTTCTTCCACTTCAACAAAGTACCCTTCTCTAGCCCCTTCCTCCCAATTCCCTTCTGAACAATAAAGAGCATCGAAAACAAATGAAGAGTTCAAAGCCATTTTTCTCCACCAAAGAATAGTTTATCAGAACTTGGTTTCATTATAGAACAAAGAAGAAGATGAAGAAAGAGAGGCCAAAAGACTCAGCTTGAGGCATCTCTCTCTCTCTCTCTCTCTCTCCTTGAAAGAGTAGAGGATTGGGGGGAGTGACCTGTAGCCAAAGGAAGGGTTTTTCTTTTGTGGGTTTGCTCTACCGCAGCAAACTGGGTTAGTCTTTTGTTGTAGAAATTTTTATTTTGGGTGGGGGATTGTTATTTAATTTGGAAGTCTGGTGTCTATCGACACAGACCCGAATCATGGGCCATGCAACACAATTACTCGACACGTGACATTCTGTACCTTATATCTCTGGACCCTATTAAAACAACTCAACCCTCTTCCCCTTTCCCCCTTCCCCCGTCCAATGGCAATGGATTTTCCTTTTTTCCTTTTTTTTTCTTCTGATTTTTGACATCATTTATGCATCAGAATTTGTATTGTGCAGTGCCCTTGTTTAGAGGTCTTAATGAGCCGCGGGGAAGATATTCTTTTTTTTTTTTTCCTTTTTTCTTCTTCAATATTGAGATGAGAGATCAGAGTTTAAAATCCACCAACTATTGAGGCAATCTTGGAATGCATCTTAAAAATATTTTTGCTTGTAATGCATAAAGTTGAATTTTTAATTTTTAATTACTTATGTTTTTTTAATAGACTAGGATAATAAAGAGTTATAGTTTTGGTCATTGTATCTGCGAGGAAGAGGGAAAGAAAGGAGTGAAGGATGGTATAAACCCAACACTAGAAAATAACCTTGGATGCAGTGCCCCAAACCCAAAGACAGAAAGCAAAAGAACTGATGAGAGCTTTTTCCAACTCAAAAAAAAAAAAAAGTAATCAAATCAATAAAGGCAGCACAATAAATCCTTAATTAAATGCTGTTATTGGTTTCTTAAATATGGTACTAGTAACATCTTTTATGATGAACATCCTTTTAGGAAAATAGGATCCAATTTTATGTAAGTGATTTTGGATCGAATAAAAATTATGAGTTTTGATTTTTTTATTTTATACAGAGCTCTAGCTATTTAATAAAAAAGATGTGGGATTGTTTTAAAGGTGAGTTGAAAATCAAGTAGAAAAAGAAAAAAAGTTAAAAAAAGTAGAGAAAAAAAAAAGAAGGGAGAGTTAGTTGAATAGAAGTCGATCCGTGGTCCGATTGAGTTGGAACATTGTCAAGAAGTTTATAATTCAGAGTTTTACATTGTGTACGGTGAAGATCGGATTTGAAGCTCTCTAAGAACAAATCCAGGGTGTATTTGTTGAATCACTTATTTGGCGAGATTTCTTCAATTATTTTTTCTAGTTATTGTTTAGCTCTAGTTTTAACTAGAGAAAAACTTTGTATACCTATTATTTGATAGTAAAGATTTTTCTGGTGATCCATGATTTTTTTTCCTCTATACTGAAGGATTTTTCACGTAAATCTTGGTGTGCTTTATTTTTCTTACGTTTTTTTATTATTGATTGTTGTCTATTGCTTCTGTATTGTTGTGATTATTGCTTCAAGCGCAACAAGTGGTATCAGAGCAATGGTTATTTTGAGACATCAATACAGAAGTAACCCAGGATAGAAGTAAATTATGTTTGAGATCATGGAGGGTGATACATGTTTCATGATAAAATTGACAGCATCGAATTATTCAATTTAAAAGCCTATGAAGGAGGATCATCTATACTGTAAAGATTTGTATGAGCCAGTATTGGGTGATTTGGTCAAACCAGCAGATATCAAATATGAAAGCTACAAAAAGTTAGGTAGAAAGACGCTGGCTACAATAAAAAAATAGATTGATATCAGCGTGTTCCATCATGTAGCACAAGAGTCAGATGCTCACATTGTTTGAAAAAAATTGACAGCATTGTATGAAAGAAAAATATGTATGAATAAAGTTATGCTTGTTAAAAAGCTTACAACTTTACAGTACAAGGATGGACGATCTGTTATAGAGTACTTGAGTGATTTTTAAGATATATTTAATCGGATGATTACTATAGAGCTTAAGATGGACGATGAAATGAAAGCGTTATTTATTTTAGGTTCATTATCAGACAATTGAAATACTCTAGTTGTGATTATTTTTAATTCAACTTCTGATTATAAGGTGACATTGGAGATGATAAAGGACATTATACTTAATGAAAAAGTAAGGCGAAAAGATGTAGACCCTGAGAATCAAGCTTTGGTCACAGAAAACAGAGGTAGAAACATCGATAGAGATCAGGACTAAAAAAATCATGGTAAGTCTAAACATAGATCCAAGTCTAAAAGTAAAGTAAAGTGTTTCTATTGTGGTAAGGTAGGTCATATAAAATAAAACTGTAAAATCTTGAAGCAAGAGCAAAAAGATGAGAAAGACAAAAGTTCAGGTGATGACAATGTTGTAACAGTGAATTCAGATAGTGATTCAGTTACTTTGATTTATACACATGATGATTGTAATCATGTTAGTGATCCTGACGTTGAGTGGATAGTTGACACAGGAGTGGTATGTCATTGTGTTCCTAAGAGAGAGTTGTTTACAACTTACAAAGTGGGAGACTTTGGTTGTACCAAGATGAAAAATAAGAATGTGTCACAGATTATTGAGATTGGTGATATTATTATACAAACTAGTACAGGTTGCATGTTGACTTTGAAGGATGTCAGACACATTTCAGATATGAGAATGAACTTGCTTGTTATTAATGTCCTTGATAAGGAGGGATATGAAAGCTGACAAAAAAATAGACAGTGGAAGCTTCTCAAAAAATCTATGGTAGTTACAAGAGAAAAATTATGTTGCACAATGTATAAGACCTGGATGCAATTAAACGGTAACCAGATAAATGTTGTTGAAAATGATGCTTCAGCAAACTTATGGCACAGGAGACTGGCACACATGAGTGAAAAGAGGTTATAAGTTTTGGTAAAGTAGTCTCTTATTCCCTTGACCAAAGGTATGTCTCTCGATTCATGTGATTATTGTTTGTTTAATAAGTATCATAGAGTTTTTTTTTCGTAAAAGTTCTCAAAGAAAAGAAAATAGATTGGAATTAATTTATTTTGACATATGTGGTCCCATTGAAGTTGAGTCATTAGGTGGTAGCAGATATTTTGTTACTTTTATTGATGATGTTTTACGTAAGACTTGGGTATATATGTTAAAATACAAAAGTCAGGTACTGTAGTATTTTTAAAAATTTCATACTATGGTTGAAAGGATGACAAGGTTACCTTTAAAGTGTATTTGAACTAATAATGGCAAGAAATACACATCTAAATGTTTTAAAGAGTATTGTTTAAAGTATGAGATCATGCATGAGATGATAGAACCTGAAACACTGCAGCATAATTGTATAGCTGAAAGAATGAATCACACCATTATGAAAAAAGTCAGATGTATGTTGAGGATAACAAAATTACCAAAGCAAAAGTCAGATGTATGTTGAGGATAACAAAATTACCAAAGCCATTATGGGGTGAAGCAGTCAACACAGCTTGTTACTTACTTAACAGGTCACCATAGTTCATTTGGGCTTTGACATTCTAGAAAGAGTGTGGATAGGAAAAGATACTTCATACTCTCACTTAAAAGTTTTTAGGTGTAAAGCATTCATACATATGTCAAAAAAACAGAGATCAAAGCTTGACAGTAAAGTCACACAGTGTGTGTTTGTAAGATATGGTGATAAAGAATTTGGTTACAAGGTATGGGATCTAATAAAAAAAAGACAATCAAAAGCAGAGATGTAATCTTTCATGAAAAAAAACCATAACAAACCTTGAGAAAAATGAAAAAACTACACGAGTTACTGTTAAGTGTGATGTTTCAATACCGACAGAGATTTCACAGGAAAGAGTCACAGATGGTGAAAATGAGCAAGAAACAAAACTTGGAGATATGAATGAGCTAACCACAGTTGGTGATCAGCCAAATGTAATTAGTTTTGAGCAGAGGGATCAATCTTTTCTACTTGAGAGTGTTGAGCATGAGGAGCTACTTTCGGCATCAAGTGATGTAGAGTCTCAACCCATGAGATCTACTAGATAGCACAGACCATCTACCAGGTATTCAAATTCAGATTTTATTTTAGTTACCAGTGAATGGGAGCCAGAAAGCTTTCAAGATGTGCAGACTATTCCTGATAAAAAGTACTGGTTAAAAGTAATGAAAAAAAAGATAGAGTCATTACGAAAGAATGATACTTATGATCTTGTTAAACTTTTAAAAGAAAAGAAGCCATTAAAGAATAAATGAGTGTTCAAGTTAAAAAAAAGATAGTGACAAACTAGTGAGGCACAAAGCTCGATTAGTAGTAAAAGATTTTTCTCAAAAATCAAGCATCGATTTTGATGAGATCTTTGCTCCAGTTGTAAAGACAAGTTCTATTTTAGTGGTACTGAGATTAGCAACTAATTTGAATCTTGAGCTTAAGCAACTTGATGTTAAAACTACATTTTTGCATGGTGATTTACAAGAGGACATTTATATGAATCAGCCTGATAGTTTTGAAGTAAAAGAGAAAGAGCACTTAGTTTACAAATTGAAAAAAAACTTGTATGGCTTGAAACAAGCTCCGCGATAGTGGTATAAGAAGTTTGATTCTTTTATGGTAAATCATAGCTATAAAAGAACTGTCACGCCCCGAGATCAAAACATAACACGACCATATTACCTTAAAGAAAATCTCAAAGTAATACGAAGCCTTCTTTCTTAAATATTCTAAAATTCTTCAATAAAACAATCTACTAAGTAAAATTCATATCTTTAATCTAACTGATGATACATCTTTATGTATCCAAATACAAATCATATAAAATATAAAACTACCTCTTAAAATCTCATTGACTAACATATTCTCTGATGATTAAATAATCTTTCCCATTTCATCTTCTAGCTTCACACAAGACTAACCAAACTTATCACTTAGTCATCTGTAAAGAAAAAGTAAAAAGAGAATGAGCAAACCACAACTTAGTAAGTATAGGCTCATACACCTTACAAGATCAAGCATCATTTTTTTACACATCATAGAGATCATTCAAAACATTCATCAAATCATAATATCAAAACATTTCAAGATCATCGTTTTGTCAAATATTTCATAAATTCATAAATCAATGTCAAAATATATCACTTCATAAATCATTGTAAAATATGCTATCATTCAAATATTATAATTAAACCAAATCATGGATCAATCATTAAAATCATCATAAATCATCATTATCATTCATTTATCGTTAGCTACGATTACTGCTATAACCCGTGATATTGGTCGTATCGATAATTTCATTCTCAT